CCTTTGGGGTGTTAACAGGATTACTCAGCAGCACAGAAACTAGTTAAGACACTGGAGCAGCTGATATAACCTCCACAACACTTTCTGTTGTTTTATCTTGCAACAAGGGGACAAAGTTAGTTGTTTTTAACTCTTCTAGTGTGACAACTGGAAACCCCAAAGGTGTCCTACCCCACTCCTACAAGCCAGCTGATCTCTGCAAGTAAGGCGCTGGGTCGAGCTGGCAGCTGGGAGCCACCAGATGACAGAAGCCACCAGTGTCTACTGGAAGGTCGGGGCTGTCGAGGACAAGCTCCTTGAGTGAGGAGCTCAGACCACTCAAGGAAACCTGCCTCTGGGAGCTCAGGTCACCCCGCCACCAGCACCCCGGCATCCGAAACCCGCCTGCTGCTCCTGACCTGGAAGTGCTGCAGGTGGGAACAGGACAGGGCTGCGAGGGGAGTGCAGGCAGGGAACTGCAGGCAGGGCCGGGCAGGGAACTGCAGGCAGGAGCGCTGGCTCAGGCGTGCGCACGGTGCAGATGAATCACTGCTCCCCGTGGGCTTCGTCACCGGGCTCGAAACCTCCACAGCAGAGCGGTGGCCCTGCAGCTCGGCTGCCCAGGGAAGCGCAGTATTGCTCCGGACTCGTGGATTATCCATCTCCCACTCCAGATGGGAGAAGACCTGCCATGCAATACAGCAGCAATTCTGCACCGTCTTCTCTTCTGGGAGCCAAATGTTGTAAGCCGGAAGCCTGGTGCAAAGGTTTTTCTCCTGCTCGCTCTGTCTGCTCTCCTCTCAGCCAGCGCAGGCCTCAGCTTTTGCAAAAATGAAGCTAACAGAATTGATTCAAATCAGCAGTATCACGCTACACCTTTTGCCACCTAAGTAACACGCTGGGCAGTATTTATTAGTGATGATTTAATCAAAATTCACATTTAAGCCTGGCTCATGGCAAATTCCAGCTCATGAGAAGCTATGTTGGACATGACCTAAAAACCTACGTGAACGCCAACATCAAATTAGCAAAAGCTCGAGTATGGTCCAGCTTCCCGGCACGGGAACAAGCAGGTCGGTATCGCTGCAAGAAGCAGCAATCCCGGAGCGTTGCCACACACATTCCCCGGGCAAACCAGGCTGGGGACAGCTCAGACCCGAGTCATCGGCGCTCCCAGGGACAGAGGCTGGACTCCCACTGGAAAAGGCTCCCTGAAAACAGGCGGAGTTCGGAGCAGTCAGGCCTGCGGAGGAGTCACCGGCCGGGGGATTACAGGGCACGTTTGCCAGGCAGATCCCAGGCAAAGCAGGCGCGGGAAGGAGGTGCTGCAGCCGGGCCCAGGGGCAGCTGGGGTGGGCTCCCCTCCCTCTGCAAAGCGCTCTGGTAGATTCACTACACAGGAACATTAACTCTACCAAAGGCTTTGGAAGTTTAAGCGCTCTGTAACAGAAGTAATAATAAAAAAAAAAAAAAAGCCTATCAGATGACTCAGCGCTGCCAGTGCAACCCATGTACTGCTGTGCGAGCCCTTCCGGGAAGGGAAGCCTTCTCCAGAAACAGAAGAGCCCTGACTCACAGATTTCTTGGAAGCGTGCAGGGACTCATTCAAGCTTCTTCCCTAAGTGAGAACTTTGCTCAAAATCAGACACAGAGTTTCTCTAACCAAAGGAGAAGGAAGAATCCTGAGGTGCCAGCACAGCACGAGGGGCTGGGGCACCCTCCTGTCATCAGAAGGCACCTGGTAAATACCAACTTGCCAAGCAAGCCGTGCTTCGCAAGCTGGGAGACACGAACACCTCCCACAGCTGAACCAACCCACTAGAAATCCTCCTTCCTCAGCCTGACCTGCCGATTAGTTTAATCCCAGGTATGTGAGCAAGGCAGAGCCAGCACCTGAAAGGCCGCGGTGCTAAGAGACCCCAGTAGCCCTCACCTACATCCCACGTCCAGCTGTGGTCGATCTCCAACTTCTCAGGGACAAAAAAGGCTTCCACAGGTCAAATCACACACCAGGGAAAGCAAATTCCTTCCCGGCCCTCCCGGCAGCCAGGGAAACTCTGAAGCACAGGATTCCAGCAACGTAATGACAGTGCAAGCAAGCAACAAGCTGGACTTTCTTTAAACCCCTCTGATGCATCAACACATGCGATAGCCAAGGACTCATCTCTGGGAGTTCCCTCTTTGGTTACATAAACACCAACTTCAGCTTAACCCTTTCACGCTGGAGCACAGGCCACCTCCACCAGGAAAAAAATCCGTGCTCCAGCCCAACATCCTCATGGCAGGGGCACCTACAGCAGTGCACAGCACAGGAGAAGAGCCTGGAAATCCAACTGCAGCACTCTGACAGCACCTCAGACTGCATCGCTCTCCCCAGAGCACGAGTTCCTGACCTTGGGCTGCTCCCGTGAATTCAGACAGTCATTACCTTTAAAAATCACCATCAGGTGAGATGCGTACTGTATTATGAGATTTATTTTTCATTTATAGCTTATGTTACTATGTACACTTAGTATTCCATAAATCCACTGCAGCAGGACTTTCCTCATGCACACAAAGATTACTGCATGACATACACGTGCTGACACTTTCTTTACAGTGAGGCGTGGTTGCTGTTTTTAATGATGATCTACTCATCTAGCCCTAACTAGATCGAAAGAAATATATTTAAGTTATCTACAGGTACTGCCATGCTAACATTATTATCACTTGTAGCATGAAGGCACACTGACAGATACTGTAAGCTCGTAAACGTGTACCTGACTAACAAAAAGAGACTGTTTCACATAGAAAATTACAATGGGCATGGAGCCTCCTCCAGTCTAGAAAGAGCTCCCAGCCACAGGTGAGGCGCACACTGTACAAGCCCAGGGCACCACCGAGTCTCTGCAGACAGATAACACACCCCTTATTTAGGCTGAGCACAGTGGGCAGCTCAGGCACAATCAATAGGGCTGTCCTTAATCAAGCAGTAGCTAAGTGCCTACAAGGCTTCCCCCTGCATGGTTTCAAAAGGAGATGATTCCATAACATCCTGAGGATAAGAAGCAGCTGAACACGAGGGTGCTTTTAAGTAATGTGATAACGTGACCAAACCATCAGTGCGGATGCCACAGAGAAACAATGAAAGGATGTAACACAAACACTCCAGCACTGGGGGAACATGTCCAGCACCGGCCCGGGGCCGTTTCCCAGCAGGTAAGCCTTACTCTGCCCCATCCCTCAAGCTACGCCCCGCCACCCTCCACCTGCCCCCAGCTCACGGTCCTTCTGCTCGTGTTCCCTCTGTCCCGCAGCAGGTAACCCCAGCCCCACCAGCGGCCTCTGCTCCAGCTCCTCCACCTCCCCCCCCAGACACGGGACTGCGGTCTGAGATGCCAAGCACACCTGTATGTAGCAGTATACGTTAAGCCTACGCATTAAGACTCTGAACTACCAAAGAACTGAATCGGCAATGCCGGCACAGCACGCCCCGCAGCAGGAGGAGGGAGCGGTTGGCCGGGAAGATGAGGAGCCCCGAAGCCCCCGCGCCAGGGAGAGGAGCAGCGGGGCAGAGACGCGGCACCACTGGGTCCCTCCAACTGCAGCGCGCGAGGCCTTTACCGCTCCCACACACAGCGGCAGCGAAGCTCCCGGGGGGCCCCCGGCAAAGCCCAGAGGAGCAGGTCCGGAGCGCAGGACATCCCAGAGCGTTCGCCCTCATCTCCTCCGGGTGAAGTGGCGCAGGGAGCACGGGCCGGGTGTCCGTCGCTCCGGCTGTAACGCTCCGTGGCCTCACTCGTTCTCACCGAGAGGTACGATCTTCAGCTACTCACCGCTGAGACACACGGAACTCCTCCTCGGAGCGGAGGTCCCGAACTACTAAATTAAGAAATTCCTGCCCGGCCTGAAGGCGCAACCAGCACCCCCCAGGAGCTGCCCGCGCCCCCGACGAGCCCGGAACCGGTGGCTGCGCTGCCGACACAGCGCAGAGCCCCGCCAGCGCCGATACGGGCGACAATCACGACAAAGGAGCTTCGCCGAGCGGCGCTTTTTAAACCCCGCCGCGCGCGAAACCCCACGCGTGGGCGCTGAGCGCTCGGCAGCGCGGAGCCCCGCGCTGACACGGCCCGGAGGCCCCACGCCGCCGCACGCACACGCGTGGGCAGCCGGCCCGTGACGACGCAGCGGAGCCTCCGCCGGCAGGAAGCGGCGCCCACCCCCTCACCCCCGGGTCGCCCGTCCCCGCTCACCCATGGCCCCGGGGCCGGCGCGGCCGCTCCCGCAGCCCCAGGCCCGGCCGCGGCCTCCGCTGCGTTGCGCGGCGGCGGCCCCCTGACAACGGAAGTGACGCGCCGCGCCGCCCCGCCGCCTCCGTCACCGCTGCCGCCCCGCCTCCCGGCGGCCGCCGCGGGGATTGGCCGGCTGAGCCAGCGCTCGCCGCGATTGGTGGAGAGCCCCGGAGGGCCGAATGCGATTGGCCGCGCCGCAGAGAGGAGCGTGGCGGGGTGGGGAAAAAGGCAAGACGCGAAGGCTGATTGGCTAGCGCGGGGCGGCTCCCTCCGCCGATTGGCTGCCGGCGCCGGCGGGAGCGCGGGAGATTGGAGCGCGCCGTGACTGGAGGAGAAGTGGGCGCTTGCCCCGCCCCCGCCGCGCCCCACGGCCCCGCCCCCTCCCCCGGGACCCTCTGAAACGCACCGGCCCGGGGCGGGGGGCGGCGGGGGGGGGGGGGTCCCCGCGGGCAGAGAGCTCCCGAGGGGGCTGGGGGCGGTGCAGTGCCCCGTGCCCGGCGCCTTTCCGAGCGCTGGGCGCTGCCCCTTCCCCGCCGAGCTCAGCCCTGCGGCGGGCGGGCGGCCCCCTCGCCCTCTCCCCGTTCGAGGCGCTGGAGACCGCAGCCGTCCGGCGGGAAAGCGGACCCCCCCCCCCCCCCAGCTCAGGACCCCCGTCCCCGGGGGGAGGCAGAGCTGCGGGCGGCAGTCGGGAAGGCTTTGGCCGTCGGTACAGCCGCCAACAGAGCAGGAAACGAGCTGAGAGATCACAGAGCCTTTTACACCGGGTTATTAATTGCAAAATGACAACCCCGCTTCCCCGCGGGGAGCCCCGAGTCCCTGGGCGGGATGTCCGGAGCGCGGCCAGAGCGGCTGGGGCTCACTTGGGCTTGGCACGAGGGAATTCCTTCCTGCCTTTGTCGCGGCCCCCGAAGTAGCGGACCCTGTGGATGGCTTGCAGCTGCTGCTCGATGGTGGCCCTGATGTCCACCTCGTCGGGGATGTGGACGTAGCGGACGTTCCTGCCGGTCACAAAGAGCTCATCCAGGCGGGACACGGTGCCCTGCCTGTCCGTGAAGGTCACCTCGGCCAGCCGCACGTTCATGAAGGCGTCCACGTTGGTGACGCGCCCCGTGGCCGTGCTCTCGTCGCGCAGGTCCACGGTGGTGACGCGGCCGCGCAGCCCCTGCAGCAGGATGACCAGGCTGTTCTCGGCGATGGTGCGCTCCTTGACGGAGTGGCTGACCTCCATCGCGCGGCTGCGGCGGGGGGACAGGGAGACGCCGCGCTGCGCCCCGGCCGGGCGCCCGCTTCGCACCCCGGGGGAAGAGCCCCGCCACCCGCCGCCGCCCCGCTCCCACGTCACACACGTTGTCCCTCTGCCCCCCACCCCCCGTGCACACCGGGGTCCTCACTGCCTGGCTCCCCTTGCACGCTTGCTTGCGCACCACCCCCTCCCACCAGCCGCTCCCGTCCTTGCACGCACATACAAACCACCCCCCTCTTGCACACTCGCCCCCACACCGCCTCCCCCCACCCTCGTGAGCTCAACCCCCCTCTACTCCCCCCCCGCCCTTGCACACTCCTCACCCCCCTCCGCTGCTCCCCCCCCGCCCTTGCACACTCCTCACCCCCGCGCTGCTCCCCCCCCCCGCCTTTGCACACTCCTCACCCCCGCGCTGCTCCCCCCCCCCCGCCTTTGCACACTCCCCCCCCCCCCCCCGCTGCCTGTCCCCTCCCCGCGCTCTGCTCGCTGCCTCACACCCCCCCACCCCCCCTCCTTGCACACGCACCCGCCCCGGCGCGTGCCCGCCGCCCCCTCCCCTTGCACGCCCGTGCGCGCGGCCCGCTCCTCCCCTTGCACACTCACTGAGCCGCCCGCCCGCCCGCCCGCGCTGGCCCGGCGGCAGGAAGGGGCGGCCCCGCCTGCGCACTGCACCGGCCCCGGCCCCGGCCCCGGCCCCGGCCCCGGCCCCCCGGCCCCCGGCCCCCCGGCCCCGGCCCCGGCCGCAGCCGCTCGCAGCCGGGCTGTGCTCAGGCCTTTAATGCCGCTCAGAGCGCGTCCATCAGCGCCAGCAGGTCCTCGCCCTTCCCGGAGCTCTCCGGGCGCGGCTCCGCCACCTCCAGCTCGCCCAGGATGCGGGACAGCTCGGCCCGCCGCGCCGGCTCCTGCGGGGACAGACAGCGCGGCTCAGCCCGCCGGCCCGCCGCCGCCCCGGGCCCGGGCAGCGCCCGCCGACGGGGGTACCGGGATGTGCCCCACCGCCGGTAACGGGGGGTACTGGGATGCGCCCCACCGCTGGTAACGGGGGTACCGGGATGTGCCCCACCGCCGGTAACGGGGGTACTGGGATGTGCCCCACTGCCGGTAACAGGGGGTACCGGGATGTGCCCCACCGCCGGTAACGGGGGTACTGGGATGTGCCCCACTGCCGGTAACAGGGGGTACCGGGATGTGCCCCACCGCCGGTAACGGGGGTACTGGGATGTGCCCCACCGCCGGTAACGGGGGGTACTGGGATGTGCCCCACAGCCGCTAACGGGGGTACCGGGATGTGCCCCACCGCCGGTAACAGGGGTACCGGGATGTGCCCCACTGCCGGTAACAGGGGGTACTGGGATGTGCCCCACCGCCGCTAACGGGGGTACTGGGATGTGCCCCACTGCCGGTAACAGGGGTACTGGGATGCACCCCACAGCCGCTAACAGGGGGTACTGGGATGCGCCCCACCGCCGGTAACAGGGGGTACTGGGATGCGCCCCACCGCCGGTAACGGGGGGTACTGGGATGTGCCCCACCGCCGCTAACGGGGGTACTGGGATGCGCCCCACCGCCGGTAACGGGGGCCTTTTCTTGACGGGGACAGGGGGCACCGAGATGCGCCCCACTGCCTGCTCACGTGGGCCTTTACTGGGGAGTACTGGGCTGCACCCCACCACCTGCTAACATTGGCCTTTACTGGGCTGCACCCCGCTGCCTGCTGATGCCTGTTTGAGAAGGGTGGCAGGCGCTGGGCTGCAACCACAAGCAGGCAAGTAACATCTCTCCATCCTATTCAGCTAAAAATTTGCTCTAATGTTCGCTGGGTTTCAGGTTCTCTTATTAAATTGTCACCAGATCCACAGGCTTGGCAGAAAATCCTGCCATTACTTATTTACGATCTTAACTGAAATGGGAAAAAATGTATTTCTGAAGTTACTACTCTGGGTGAAACTCAGTTCTTAGCAAGAAAGGAGTGATATGAATCTGAAACACCACCGTACATACCTGTGTGGCTTCTATGTTGATAACCTTGTAAGATAACTCCTCTGGTCTACTCAATGCAGCGTGTCTTGGTTAAAAACATGAAAAGAGTGCTTAATCTCATGAAGACATACAAGTAAATTATAAAAATCACATTTCATGAGCCTCTTGTATACCTGAAGTTTGGCCAATGTCCCTATTTCTACTAGGTAAATGAATGTATTGACCCCAGTTTGGAGACTTTTCCCTGTCTTGGATTTTTTATGCTAAGTGTAAAACAGCGGGAGTATCTCTGTAGTTGAGATTAAAGTAGGTAAAAACATTCTGCAGAAATGACGTAACAGTCTCATCACCTTTGTGCTCCCCACCAGGAGAGGGCTACAGCGTTCAAGCCTGTCAGGCTCATCATCTCCATCAGTTATATTCTTATCTCTGAAATGTAGATGCGTTTGGGGGAGAGGAGAGCTAAAAGGGCTGTAGGGATGTCTCTGTTCCACGGGACAGAACGAAGCACAGACTGTCACCAGTGTCACTGGGAGGGAATGCAAGGCCGTGCATCCCAGGAGACACCAGTAAGGGAACTGGCTCTCCTTGCTGACAGCCATAATAAAAAGGTCCAAGCCAGGGAAACTGCTCCCTGTTTGTTCCCGTAGGGACCATCTGGACCAGAATAACAAAATGCTAAAAAACCCTGCTGTTCTGTCCCTAAAGCCATTAGGGGACAGCTTTAGTCTCCAGAGCTGTCCACGTGGCACTACATTACAAACCCCAAACCAAGAAGGACTTGAGCATACTCTTCCTCCTCGTCGGTTGTGAACAAATTCAGTCGAAATCCTGTCTCACTGCCACCAGGTTTCTTGATCTCCAGACCTCCCAGCAGCCTGGCCAAAAAGTTCAGTTCTTCTTTCGCAAGAGGGTTAGGGACTATATTCTCCTGCAGAAAACAGCAGTGGGTTCATTGGTCAGGTTACCAGGGAGATGAGGACTGTAGTAATTTTTGTGTTTTCTGATATTACATAAATGTTCTTCAGAGTGATATAAATACATTTCTGTATTGTTAATGGTACATGTTGTGCAGATAACTAGTAATTATCAGCTATATATTTAAAGCGGGTGCTTGAATTTATAGACCCAGGACAAGATAATTTTCCAGCTAAATTGAACAGCTGAGAAATCTGTAAAACCAGCTTGCTGTTTTCTGAAGAGATTAAAATAGGAATCAAGTATGCCACTGCATAAGCCTGCGTGTAAGATTCTTTAGGAAAATGTGCCCTTCCCCTATCTCAGAAGGGACTGTGGAGGATTGGATGGGGCTCTGAGAACAACAGAACAGGTTCTCCGCAAGTTATCCTGTAAGTGTAGACTAAAAAGGTGGTTATTGTTTCCCTGAGAAAGGAGATGACCAAAGGGGAAGATAGTGCAACTGTACAGTAAATCATTTGGAGATGATGGATGTAGGCGTTTCATTTAGTGACCCCATCTACTAAGAGACAAGGGAAGCAGAATGTAAAATCTAGTGGATGTGGTGAAACTGCTCAAAGGAAACGCTCCCACCACGTGTGACCGGCTGCAGGACTTACCGACAGAGACTAGTTAGGCAGTTAACCAGTGACAGGAACAGAACAACACTGACCTTTGCATGGGGTGCCAGGCTTTTGGATGATCCTGCCATGTGTGTCTCTACTGGCCGGCTAACACTGTACCTAGAGGGAAAAACACGTGAGGAAGAGCAACCCGTTACTCGTGTCAGATACAAGAGCTGGAGGAAGCAGCGCAGCAGCTATGATTTTAGGATGTTTTTCTGAAGACTGTTAATAACTGAAATGAGAAATTACAGTTTTATGGAGTATTGAGGAATTAAAATGTGTGAGCAACAAAGCTGTAAGAGAGAACACAGCTCTCTCTTTGAATGGAAAAATTAAGATAAACACGGAGAAGAGAAAGGATTTCTTGAATGCCGTGAAAATTAAATTACATTTCGCGTAATCTGCAGTATCAGATGAGAACACTCTTTACTCAGCTCTACTGTAGCCATAAATCAAACTTTTGCTCTTTTCCACAGCTCTTTATACACATCTGACCTCATGCATTCTTGGATGTTTCTTTGCTTTACAAAGAGATGTTTCAGGACATCGCTGTGTAAAAGAGTCAAGCTGATAATAGTGAAAGAGGCAAAAATACACCAGGCTGAAGATGTGCTTCTGAACAAATCCGTAACCATCAGCATTTACTTCATGTTTCTACGTAGAACAAAAGTTACTTACATATTTGTTCCAAGTTTGAGGACTCTGTCTCCATAAAGATCAAAAGATCCTTCCCTTTGTGGAGCAACATAATTTCCTTCAGTGGTGAACTCAGTTCTTTTAACTTCATCTCCATTGTGATTAAACATTCTTAAAAGCAAGTCATTATTGAAACATATTTAGTAGTTTTATTAGATTTTCAGTACTCACTTCCTCTGCTTAAGAAAAAGGGGAATAAAACCCTATCCTGTATGTTGGTAATGCCTATTTTATAGGATAAATTACTAATAGCTAGTTTACTGGAATAGAGACCGCCAGACACAGCTTAGTATTTTATTGCTGGGTGACTTGGTCCCAAATCCTGCCCTTTAAACAGTACTTACTGGAGGTTCTGCTATCCATGCAACGTGAGTGACAGTCTAAGCTCAATTCCTATTAGATCTGTGGGACTGACTCTTCCTCCGTGAGCAGCCACACATGCAAAGCACTTGCACGCAGTGTGAGCCGCGGTTCAGAATTCACCTGATGAGTCCTGGGACTTCTGTACCCCAAGGAACAGGGCCCGATATTGGCAGCACAAAGCGACCATTGGAGTTTTGCACTTTATCCTTCAGAAAGATAGAGACCTGCAAAAGAATATTCCACCTTTGAGAAAATCAATTAAATATCTTCTGATACGAATTCTGAAGTCTGACCTTGCAGCCTTCCTGCCTAGACTGGGGTAGGTTTTCTAGAGATTTTCATGGATATACAGAGACTGTGATCCAGAGGATGGGCACAGTGATCTAACATTAAAAAATATATATTAAAAAAAAGTACTGCTTATGCACTTCAGTATGATCAATATATTTAGAGAATATGAAGCCCCATGACTTCAAGCTCAGGTTCTGAGTTTCATATCAAGTTGCTACTAAAAGGAAAAAACATATTTATCAACTAGCAAATCCGTACTAGTAGACATTCCTTTTTTCGTAATGTTTTAGAATTACTGAGTGTTATTGTAGTAGCTGTGCTCAATTTGTGAAATTTTGAAGATTAAAATTACAAGCACATCAAGATGAGTGAAACACCTAAGTAACAAAACCAAAACCCCAGTGTAATTATACAAATACCTTGGTATTCTAGCCACAAACTCCATTTCATTCTTACTGACTAGTTGTATTGGGCTCTTACCCTTATGTGCATGTCCTGAAAAAAAATGAGGAGTGTTTGCCTGATGAGCTGAAATTCACCGGCAGAGAGACAGCTGTAAGTCTGGAAGAGAAAAACCAACAGGTAAGGCTCTGCGAGTGGGGCATGTCCACCCCGGGTAAGGGCTGGGAAACAAGGATATCAGAACACTGCGGGCCAAAACCAGTACGTGTGCGGCAGGGGAAACAGAAATGACACAAGGGGGCTGCTGGTCATGATCAGTAATTATTATCTGTGACTAACAGTCTCATTTAATTTCTGCTGAAGTCAGTGGAGACTTTGATCAGGCTGAATAAGCAATGTATTGATTTCAACTGGGCGAGCAGAAAAATTGCAGTTGACTCATAGACACCTCCCCCTCCAGAAGCTCTCTGGAAACATTTAATGACTTCCCAGAACTTCTAACATTTTATGAAACCAGTTCCCTTTCACTGGGACACTCATTCTTTGTCCAAAGAATTACAGCAGTTACATGAGCAAAAGTTGCTAAGTGGGTGGCCAATTTGTTTCCCTTGGGTTATAAAGAGGGGAAGGTTATTTTGATGGTTGTCTGAAGTTGAGAACATATCCACCTCCACACTTGATAAGGCACGCACTGATGTAGTATTTAGGCTCTACGATTAGCCTGAAGAAAACAACCAAAAATCTCAAACCACAGTGTGTCCCACCATTTTTCTAAGGACTCTTACTTCAATCAGCTGTCGGAAAGTTTCATCCACCTGGTTCAGAATGCCGGGGGAATCGCGTACGAAATCCTTGATCGCGTCCAGGTGGTTGAATGTGACCAGCAGAATGTCTTTGGGCCGAGGGCACAGCAGCACTTGGTATTTGAAAGCCATAGTCATCAGGTCATACAGCTGGAAAGTAACACCCAGAGATTTTGGTTCCATCACAACAGAGAGCACGACGCCGCTTAGGTAACCTCACACTGATGTAGAAAGGGGTTTAGACACTTAGGCTAGCACCTGCCTATGGTAGGAAGAACAATTTTTGCTTTGTTTCCTAAGAAAATAAGACCTCTGCAATCACATTGTCAGCCCTCCTGCTGGTCTCTCCAACTGCCTTTAAAACTACCGCCAGTTTCACCAACACTGGCACCCGGGTAGAGGTCTCTCAGGTAATCCAGATCCTACAGTTTTTTTTTTTTTTTCAAAATTGTCTGCTGGATATATTGTTCGCAGGCAAAACTTCTAACACCTACAACTGCAAAACAGTTAAGTGTCAATACAGAAATATATATATTTACACACACCCACATAGGTGTATATTTTTAATATACGCTAACAAATCTGATGGAGAATGCTGACTGAACCTCTGAAACATTTAGCTATTAAAGCAGAAATATTTAGTTCTGAAGTACCTGATACTACCATGGATTTCCCCAACGCTTCCCTTGGCTGAGAACCATTTTCACAAAGCAAGCAAAGGGAAAGAGGGCTGTTACAAAATGCTTCAAAATTATGGTGATGTAAAGCCGGGTACGAATTCCGGCAGTCGGAAGCCCGTGAGCCGCAGCACGGAAGCCAGCATGGCCAGCACGGGGCTGGTGGTCCGGTTTACCTTGTCCATGCTTGCTTGGTTCAGCCTCATGATTGAAGCATGAGCTAGCCGGTCGTACACTGTTCGCAGAGCTTTCTTGGAATAGAGTTCCTGTGGTTTAAACAGCTCCTCCATAAATTTTTTATTGAACATGGTTGTGATGATGTCATTCATAACTGCAAAGACAAAGAGTCTCTGTTTTTTGCTTCAGAAACAGCACGTTCATCTGATTCATTCTACACTGAGAACTGGGACACAGAGCTGCGAGGATTGCTATGAATGCTCACCTGTGAAAACCAGGTACCTAGCCACAGAAGAAAAAAGGAAGTGGAACGTCGCTTCGCAATGTCAACATTTTTCTCACTCCCACACTGGTCTAAGTGAGCAGCACGACTGCTGCTGACTGTCCCCGGGGGCAGAAACGCTACTTGAGCTGCAGACAACAAACCCTGTTTTCCAGTGGGAATAAGACTGGTTTTGTTGCTTTGTTTTTACAGCTACAGCTAGCACTATTCACTTTTTAAATAAGTTTGTTTCTAGGCTACCCTGACACGTATTATCTATAAAAGCTACAGTTCTGCTTCCTAAGATGACTGTTCTGCATCGCTCTAAATTTTTATAAACTATAGCTAGCTGACTCTGCCTGTTCTTTCTTCAGCCTTTGACACTATTAGCCTATTTTTCCTTCTAAACAGAAGCTTCTGAATCATCCAAGGCTCCCTGAAGTATTTGTTACAAACGGATTAACACTGACAAGTATTTAAGGAAGCATTTATAACACCGGGATCTATGTCAGGCCATCCAGGGCTCTTACACAGCAACATCTGTGGATACTAGAGCAGTTTAAAAGTGCAGAACTCTAAACTTCCTTACGTGTGCTTTGTTTTTTTTACATTTAAATTTAGACATGGAATTGTTAAGCGACTTAAGAGTATGTAGAAATTGGGAGTGCTGAGTATAGAGGCTATGCTCTGGTTATCGAGCTTTTAATGCAACGAAGATAGAAAATATTTTGCAGTGATTCAAGCGGGTGCAGCATCTTAGCTTTTGTGCTGGATCTGATGATTACTTATGGTAACTCTGTAGAACTTATCAGGTATGTAATAAAAGTATTTATTTCTCTATCAAAAAAATGTTAAATAAAAATTTAAATTCACAGACATTCCTGTGCAAGCATGAATTTTCCTAAGCAGTTGTCTATGCTGAGGATCATAATGCCAGCTGATTCTTATGGACTAGAAAAATCTCAGAAGTAATAAAAACAAGAAAGAAAGAAAAAGTGAACATATACATAGTGGTAGTGATTAGCTCTGTGAAATACTGCCATCATTATTCATTGGTGGGTTAGACACCTGGCTTTTCACAACTGTCATACTGAAGCTGCACAAGCAGCCAAAAGAAGGTGAGTGTCCCCGGCACGTCGTCCTGTGTCCGGCGGCTAGCTCCGGGGAGCACCGAGGCACGCCGGAGGCGCTGGGAACCTGCACACGGCTCGCTGGCTTCCTGAGGGCCGGTGCCTTCTGACGCTTTTCTCTCTCCCTGCTTAGACCTGATGTTTGCAGGTTTTCTCCCACTGCTGGTGACACACTCATTTCAGCATCCACTGCACTGAACCTAACGGGGCTCACTAGGCCCGCTTTCAAGTACCCAAACAACACAGACAGATCTCAGCTCAGCTTCTGAGCAGCATGGATTACAAATACACCTAACTACAAATGGGAAGAAAATCCCTCCTCTTCCTCCCTTCTTTTCAAATAAACTGCCCATACATCAAATCCCTACTTGCAGTCTGAGGCAAAAATCCTCACTTTTTTCACATCAAATCAAATATATTAGTTTCTATTTCATTTTGCAAGTAATCAGTTATGACAAAAATAAGAACTTTTGCCTTATACTGCTTTCAAAAAAAAACATTTTTAAGTTGCTTGCATATGTTGTCCGCACAAAGGCTTCTCCTCTGTCTTTGAAGAGTCACTAGGAACCAAAACTGTCAGGAGACAGACAACGTCCCAGGGCGCTGGCTGTGGCTGGTGGATATTCTCAATGGAATCGGAAGATCTGTGTTAACCACACAGCCAGCCTTACATAAATTATCTTCTGAAATTAAAACCTCTTGTATTGGCTATAAAAAGAACTGAGAAAGACATAAAAAATTACGGTAAAGGGCAAATCTCACACAGTATGTTTGATAATGACACAACAAAGAGATCTTAGAGCACAGGTAGTCCCTAGGGAGATACTTACGCCATTCTAACAATGGAAAATAACAAAGAAAGGAGTGTTAGCTCAAGGAAAATGGCACGCCAAGCAACACAGCATAAAAGCAATTTAGCAGAGAGGGGTTTCATCAACTGGGACGGGGAGAGGGAAACCAAGTATAGACAATGCGATGGACAGAAGAGAAGCTGAGGATTCACGGTGGTTTTCGCCTACCCGTGCCATGTCACTGGTAACAGACACAGTCCAGCGTCTAGTGCGCTGCCACGTAACATGGCCCGGAGGCATGACATGAGACGGGAGTCCTTACGCCTGGGTTATGCTCGTGCTTCTCAGAGGACATTCAAGGCAGCAGAGGGAATGCTCTGAGTTCAAAGCAGTCACACATTCTACCTGCGGTAGGTTTACAGTTCGTAACAAGGTCAAAGGCAGGCGAAGCCGCCTCGTCACGGCTTTATCAGCAATAGCCTCGGCTGGTTACTCTGCGTAACCCTCCAGAGACTGCCCCCAGAGCAGTGTCCACGGGCAGACGTGTTCTCCCACAAGAGAAGCTGATGGGTCAACATGGGACCTGATTCTGTGCCCCCACCATCTAAATGTGATAAAGCGGGCTTTCGTACAACTCGTCATTATTTTGGATGTGATGCACTAGGAATATGGAGTCTTTTAGACTTCTGGGATGTTAAATGCTAAAAAAGTGTTCTTGGAAACAGCACGTAATGGTAGCAAAAAAAGGCTGGGGCAAAATCCAGGATATCAGTATTTACCTTCAGTAAATATTCAACACCTACAAACGATGCTTCTTTTGCAAAAAAAGGAATCATAACCCTGATCTCTCTTAAAAAAGCGCTGCTCAAAAAGACACTGGACGTTCTACTCATGTTCACCTAGCAAAAAACCGGAGATGGTTTAAGAGATTTATTTCATCATCCAGCTCCTCACCACACGCCTTTGCTGGAGGCCACCATTTCAAGGCAGAGTCCAGAGGAAACGCACACTCACACCTCAGCCGCTCCACTGCAGAACCCGATGTCTCGGCTCAAACCCGCCTGCAGGGATAATTTCAGTCAAGACGAGCTTGGCTGAGGTGGGAGCACCTGCTCCTGTGGGATGGCTCTGCTGCAGGGGTCTGGCCACTACCAGAGACGGATAAGCAGCTAGGATGGAAATGCCTTAAACCTTTCCTGGAGTTCTCCTGTCAAAACCTTAAGCAATGAATTAGAAAAAAACCTAGAAATATGCAGTATACATACTATTCCTGCATTTAAGCAGAAAAACAACCTTCACAATGCTCACGCAACTATATGCTTGCATTAACATAATGATAGAAAAATACAAATATCATTTTGGCTAGAAAGACCGCTATGATGAAGAGTTTTGATCTCTTTATAGTCCTGGTTAAATTAGCAACTCATTTTTGAAGCCATGTGATTTTGAGATGCCTTTTTTCCTAAGATCTATAGTCAAAGTGCATTTTAATGAACAGGTGAGTATTATAATTCATCTTTGACACTAGGACCAGAAGGCTGCAGGAACAGCATACACTGCGTTCACGGACGATGAGCCTCATGTGTGCATGTAGGGGTGCTTGTCTACTGCATGCAGCTAGAAGATTACAGTACCTCGTTTCCTGTCCACATCTGTCCATTCATCTACACGAAGCATATAAAACAAAAACATCAGTTCAAGAAGTAAGAACAATAGTTTCAAGGAGAATAAAAGAAATAAACGAAAAAAAAAAGATCTAACTAATGGACTTTGCTTTTTCTCATCAGCATTCGGCGCTCAGCAAGAACAAACTCTTCTGTTGCTTGACATCTTTCACTTCCAGTGAGCGCACTAGATGAAAACCTTGCCCTCCCCTTGGAAAAAATCCTGTTGCTTCAATGGAGATAAAATTTTTACCCTTGATTGAATTTTAGCATGTTTTGCACTGAGCTTGGAAAGTTTCCAGCTGTTTTTTGCACTTACAAGTGAGCAATATTTGAGTGAGCAGTTTTAAGCATTAACAAACACATCAGTGTGGATGAAACCAAATCTTAGTAAAAGTAACGCCTGATTTTTTGGAAGGTAAAACAGACGTGTGGATGGGTTAGTACAGATCTAATTCTCCTGCTGAGACATTCCACCAAGTATGGCTAATTTAGTTTAAACTCTCAACTTAGACATATATGAACAGTAGTAGCCTTTTGCCAGCTCATTCTCTGAAGACACACATGAATAATTACAAATCACACTGCTGTAGTGAAACCTTTGGTATTGTTTAACATTTCTTCATACTGGATAGGCAGGAGAAGGAAAAAAATGTAACAACCTCTTCCAAACTGAGTTAATATTGAGTGATTTTTTTATTACAAAATACTAAAGCTTCCTGAAGTGTGTTCCCCATCCCATGACTGGAAGCTGCAAGAATTTTTAAAAGCAAAGCAGTTTTAATTTTTAAGTGTTAAACAAAGAGGTGCTCAGCTGTAAAGTGGAATTTTTGTGCACGGACGTGAACGCACAGGGCTCTACTTTTACAATAATTCTGACGAAATGCTAAACGGACAGATTTTTATAAAAGCCAGACAGGGGTTTCAGGAGCCATACTTGTGTTATTTGACATTTTTCTTAATTGCACATGCTTCTCCTGCATGGGCTTACAAAATTATTCTCAGAAACAACTTCCGATTGCAAAGCAATCCGGTCTTCCTGGAGCAGCTCAGGACCTGGACTGGGATGCCCGAATCCTGAGTTATTTTGATTCCCAAAGTGTATTTCTGAAGCTCTGGAACAAGTACAAAAACACTGAAACGCATTTACATTTCTACCTTGGCTGTATGCATGTCGCAAATTAGCTTCGCTAGTACCTTCCGGCACTTATTACCGCAGAAACGTCGTGATGAACTCCGCAGGCTGCGCCGGTTTAGGACAAGCGGCGGCGGGGAAGCTGCCCCAGGCTCCTCCCGACCACCGGCCCGCGCACCCTCCCGGCACCAGCGCCCGGAGAAATTCGGATTTCTTCCCGCCACACGCAGAGAGCCGGGCCCCCGGGGCTCGCCGCCCGGCCGGGAGGAGAGCCCAGCCCCGGGGCCTGGGCACCGGCACCGACAGCGCCCGGCCCGGAGCGGCCCCCGGGGGTTGGGGGGCCCGGCCCCCCGCCGCTCACCTTTGCGGGCCTTCTCGCCGGGGATGCTCTGGGCGCGGAGGCGCTGGTCCAGGATGTAGAGCATCTCCCCGCCCAGGTTGAGGAACAGCAGCGGCAGCGCCCGGGCCGACATGGCGACCGCCGCCCCCCCCCCCTCCGCCGCCGCCGTTGCCCGGCAGCCAATCGGGGCCAATCGGGAGGCGCCGTCTTGGCCGGTGGGGGGGGGGGGCACGGGGCGCGCGTGCAAGCCCCGCCCCTGCGCGCGTGCAAGGCGCCGTGACGTCAGCCCCGCAGCGTGAGGGGGAGGGAAGAAAAAAAAAAAAAAAAAAAAAACAAACCGCGATCGAATTGATAAGGAAACGAAGGAAATAAAGTGGTTTTGATACAGTAAAAATAAAGCTGAGCGGGAGCGGCGGCTCCCTGGGCGGGCGGCAGAGCACGGGCGAGAGGAGCGGCGCGGGGGGAGCCACAGAAATTTGGGGGACGGGCGGCAGCGCCGCCACCTCGGCGCCTCCCTTCGCTGCAGCCACCCGCGGCAGCGGTTCGGGTGTTAACACCCAAATCCGCCGAGTTCGAGCGTGACGGGGGGGGGGGTGGTGGTGATCGCCAGAGAGCGAGTCCGCCGGGAAATCGCAGCCCCGATCATCAACCCCAGCGCCCCGGCTCGACCCGTGCGTTCCCGCGAGGAGGAAACGGCGCGCCGAGCTGCCGTCAGCACCGCTCCGTTTCCAAACGAGCGGCATCTCTCGCCTCATTCTCCCTCCTCACTCACGGCCCCCCGAGCCCACGGCCCGGCCGCGCAGCGTGGGTTGCCAGCGCGATGCTGGAGGCTCGCCTGGCAGCGGCAGGAGACGGGCCCGCTGGCAGCGTCCCCCCAGCTGCTCCTCTCACACAGACGGAACGGCTCACAGCACAGGCCGGCGCCTCGGCTTTAAATTCAGCTTCTAAAACGCTTAAACCACTCGTTGCACTTCGGGCGCTCACCGTGGCGCGGACCACGCACAAGCGAAGAGGCTTTAGGTAGTTCTTTATTGTTCGACCGGCCGCATCGGCCCCAACGTGCTGCTACACAGGCGTCCCCTCGCACTGCGCCGCCGCCTCCTTCTCCCTCGCGGCTCTCATCCTCGCCTGCCACTCTCTCCTCTGCTTTAGCTTCTCTGGTGCTTTCAGCTTCTGCACCTCCTGAAAGACCTGCGGGAGGAGCGTAAGGTGAGGGAAGGGGAGAGACAAAGCTGCGGGTTGGTGAGCAGATCTGCTCCACCACCGCTGCGTGGGGCTGCGCCGAGCCCGGGTCCCGCCGGAGGCCGGGAGGCACACCGGGCAGCACGGGCACTGCCTTCCCGGGCACCTCCCCGGGACGCCAGCCTGCCCCGTTTATCAGGGTACCACGGGAAGTAATTCCGTTAGAGCTTCCCAGCCTTTTGGTTATAACTGCACTGGACTGAAATTTTGTACTTCCAGACTGAAGGCACGTCCAGCTTTTTGATTCTGCTCGGTGATACCGAGACACATTGCACACAGGAGTTACACCAACGTATTTAGAGCAAATGAGAGTACACAGTGGATAGACCCACATTTCTGTTCCAAATCCGCCATCAGATTTCACTGCCTCACAAATTAGCTCCCATACCAGGCTTTGAAGAGAAGCTGCTTTGAATCATACATTTCTGAGCAAACTGGCAGCACAATCTGAAGTTCTCAAGCCCAGCACGTGCCTCACTGCCCACTATGTAACTGTCTTTCGTGGAGCTCTTTGCCGAGCTTATGCATTTCTCTACAGACATTATCATCATCTCCCCAAATTCAAAGCATGGATTAAGAGGACTTTTCTAACCGTCTTAATTGTGCCCGTCTGTAGAAAGATTTTTTTCTATCCCAGCTACATGGTGCTCTCAGGATTGCTCCATACCTTGACACAGAGAGCCTTCTTCACAAGCCAGCGCTTGGTGATCCTTCTGCAGTAGGGAGGGGGCAGCGTGTACGTGATATCCAACTGCTTGCAGGTGTTTTCAAAGATATCGTAGCGGACACGGCGGAGATACGCAAGGAGTTTCTTCCGGCGATCTATATCCATCAGCATGCGACGACGGTTACTTTTATCCTGCAAAGGACTTAACATTCACTACGCTGCAGACAGATTATACTTCCATTCCAATAAATTACTCAGAATAGACCAGATTACGGCTGAAAGGAAACAATCAGGTTAAGGACAGTATCTTAGAACAATTTTTCTTGGCAGATACTGCAAGCACATTAGGTCACTACAAGGAGATCTCAGAAGACTTAATTTACTTTTCACTGAAATTGCTTTCTTCATTCTGTGTCTGCACCTTCCTCCTCCAACCCTGGGGACTGTTTTCAACTTGTGTGCAGTTTCAGGCGGTGGCAAAAGCTGCAATGGCTTGGAGGCGAAGGCTGTAGGGAAGGTCTAATGGCTAAAAACTCTGCTTCCCCTGAAATGTATTCTTCCAGAAATAACGCAGAAGCATTTACCTTTGCTTTTCCAGAAATTAAATCTGGAAATAAAATGTGACTTGGCTCTGTATGACCATTTGGGTTGTTCTTTGGCAGTAAATATGCATAGCTCGAGCCATGCCATTCAGGGCAATCCCCCCATGGGAGAAATTTCCGTATCCTGTAGAAGCAATCTGTGTAAAAAGCAGGCTTCATCCAAGTCATTTCAAAAGGTCTCTTCTGCCGAAACATTTGGTACAACTTCTGGCTTCTTATAAAAACTTAGTTCTTTTCTGTTTTACTCCTCAAGCTTTTATGATTAACAAATAATTACGCACTTTTTTCAAATGCAGTTGATTAATCCATTTCCCACCTTTTGCACTGAATGAAAAAAACTTTAATACATCTTGTTCATAAACTCACAGTTGTGATGTTTTGAATTTGGGTTCTGAACCCAGGCAGCTTTAGGTAGGAAAGTGGTCACTACAACATTAAACACAGTCCTGTCCACTAGATGTTTTCATAGGCAGAACAAAGAAAGAACGCAGCTGCCAAAGTGATAACATTAATTACACTGAAAAGTAAGAGGTGAAGCCACATCTGCAGCAAGGATAAATTTAGCTAAGCTCCGTTCAAAGGTATCTGCTCAGCCATTTCCAGCAATCCACTAACAAAAAAGAACACACTCCACATTTCATTCAGTGAGAACGTAGCTGTGACTGAGCCAGCAGTTTCCTGGACTGGCGCGACAGAACAACTATTTTATAAACCTTCTTAGGAAAGCCATAATCCCCAGAATTAAAATCCTTTTGTTCTGAACTGAGAAAACAACCTGAACAGCTGCTGTCTCAAACGTGTGGGCTCAGATTACTGATAGTTACCTTGGGATGCTTCTGAAGATGTTCCTCGTAAGTGCGTATCTTGGCAGTCAACACAGCAACTATAAAGAACAGACATAAGAAGCTGTGTGAGAGCAGCAGCTTTCCAAGGTGAGACAGAATAATTTGCATTCCCCTCAAATTGCCAATTGAGGACGGCTGTTCTTATGGGTACCCACTGCACCACAGCAAATATTACCACACAGACCTCTGGATAAGTGCAAAACAAACCACAAAATATAACCTACATAACCCGAGTCAGAACTATTCCTATTATGAAGCTGCTTAATTAGAGGTTAAAATTTTAACAACAGATCGTATGAGTCTATCTGTAAAATGCCTCTTGTACTCACTGGTGTCTTTACATTCATTTCACTTCACTTGGTTTAATCTTTGGAGGAACAGACACAAATTAAGAGGTTCTTTCTGAGAGCAGCAGCCAGCTCCTTGTGATTTCAGGCTTCGAAGAAAGGTGCTGGTAGCAGCGTGAGAAACTGAAGGCTTTTATAGATGACACAAGAGTGCATCTGGGTCGACGGCAGCGTGGCCTTCATCCCTGCACTGTCCCTACACTATGCTTCAGCCAGAGCTCTCTGATGCAGAGGAAAATTAGGGTTCCGTGGCTAAATCTAGTAGTTCATTTGGGTAATGAATGCAGCGCAGTGCTTCATGTCATAAAGCACTTCATGCAGAATAATGCACATGCTGCCACTGGAGGGTGGATATGGAGTAGGAATTTGGGAGCACCCTCGCAGACACCTGCCGGTAAGCGTCTGTGCTGCTGCCCCAACCTTCCCAAACCCTGAACAGGCCCCCCGGGGCACACTGCAGGCTACCTCCCTCTTGGGTGCTCTCCTGTAGGAGACCCTCCTAACCCACACAGGAAACTCAAAGTGCTGGGGTGGGAACAGCTGAATGAAAGCAGAGATGTATCATCTGCCAACAATATCCTTTTACTTTTTCAACTTACCTTGCACCTCAAAGGACCCATTGTCATCGGGAGACCTCCTGACCTTCTCCACCAGCTGCTGTATCTTTATTTTCATCTTCTCCTTCTGTGGATAACAGAAAAGAGCTCGTCCCTTTCTCAGGAATGCTAAAGGTCTGAGCCACCCCAGGTCTCTTCCCAAATGCCCAGGTTTGTAATTAATAGCTTTACTCAGTGTCCATCACAAAAATGTGTAAAAGGTGCTGCAAAAAAGGACCTGCTGCTTGCAGGACAGTGCTCAGAGGACAGCAGCAAAGCAGCACAAAGATCTCAGCAGAACACAGAATCGCCATTGTTCAGACCCAGAGTGCAGGCACACGCTGCCGCCCAGGATTACAGACGGGTGCTGCTCTCATCAACGGAAGAGAGAACTGAAGCTGATCCCACATGGCAGTAGCCTTTACTTTTTGCATATTTTAAAGCTTACGTGGTAAGCAGAAAGAAATGGCAAGATCTTTGTGCTACCTTCTGATTTGCTTACTTTGTTTTCTGGACGTACAAGTAGTAAAAGTGTACTATTTTCTAGAACACAGGCCAACCATCAGCAGTAACATCACACAGCTCATCTCCCTTGTGATTGCTGAATATTTTCTTCTCCCATTTTAGTATGCAATTATTATCATAAAGAAGAGTGCATGATAAATTTTAAGAGCGTACAAGACTTACCACTCTCATGTATTTAATAGCTGCAGATTTGCAGTCACCAAGCAACACTTAAAGCAAGTGAAGGGCATTTAACAATCTACAAAAGTCTTACACAAATGTGCTCACTAAATCTTCTAGTGATTTATGCAAGTAGAATGAAACTAACCTGGCTTGCCATCTCCAGTGACAACAGTCTTTTCACTACATCGTCAACACTGCAAGGAGATTGCAGATTACTTTGTAAGCCAGAAACAAAATATATTTAACAACAGACATGAGTTTAGTTTTTCAGAACATATTAACTTTTCTCAACTTGAATTTACTCTACAAATTTACAGCAACTCTCCTCCTCTCCCAAATCTGTCAGCCATAAACTGTTTCTTGCATTCCTAAGAAAAATCATGGCTGAGATTACAGAAGCATTGAGTAGTTTTGCTGCTGTGGGAAGCACAGTTATTTCAAATGATGATGAAGTCTTATCAATTCTAAAAACATTACATGCAAACTGGGTGCTGAAGATTAACCCCCAAGTAAGTATGCAAGGACAAAATAATTAATTTTAAGACCTGCTCCTTCAAAGAGCTGTGAAAGTCTCGGGTATGCCACTGGGGGCTCTCTATGCACCACACATGAGCAGTTCTGGAATCAAACCTAAAAATGCTAAACTCCAGGTCCAAATTTCAGAAGCAGCCAGTCATTTTGAGTTGTTTAACTACACAGTCTCTAGCACCTGAGTTCAAGACAGGCATAGATTATTTCTAAAATGGTTATTTCTATTATTTCAAGATTATTTATTTTTTCTATGGACTACAAAGTCCACAGAAGGTGTGGGCAACCAGCGCTTAACCTTATATTAAGTAAAAAAACCCTTAGATAACCCTAACCTCTGACTGCTTTTGCCAATTTGACTTTCAAAACAACTTTGCAATTTTTGTGCTAAACTGCACAACAGTGACTCCAGAGCATTAATTAATTACTGAGCAGATGACAGCTTCCATGTATCGTGGTTGTGTGTGCATAAGACAAATCTCTGAAGAGAATAGTCATTCCCTTTCCCCGTATCATACCTATTTATTCCTGGGACATCGGCATAATCTTTCTTCAGCATTGTGGGAGGAAGATCATCCAAATGGCTGGGGCTGTCTACAAAGAGAAGATTAACGTTTGAGGAAGAGCAGTACAGTCAGAGCCCTGAACATGCTTGCAAACTAGATCAGAGGAAACAAGTTGCAAAGAATATAGACTGTAAGCTCCAAATAAGAAGAACTTAAGAGATCAAGTTGAGATAGTAGGAACTGAGTGAATAAAATGGTGTCCAGTTTTTTGCCTTCAGAGCTTGGGATTTATAACATGGTATATAGCCCACCAAGATCAGTGATCTCTTGCTAATGATAACTGCTAATTGCATATAATCACAGACTGGTTTGGGTTGGAAGGGACCTTAAAGCCCATCCAGTCCCACCCCCCTGCCCCGGGCAGGACCCCCTTCCCCCAGCCCAGGGGGCTCCCAGCCCCGTCCAACTTGGCCTTGAACCCTTCCAGGGAGGGGGCAGCCACAGCTGCTCTGGGCACCCTGGGCCAGCACCTCACCCCCTGCACAGGGAACAATTTCTGCCTTAGATCTCACCTAAATCTCCCCTCTTCCAGTTTAAACCATCACCCCTCGTCCTATCCCCACACCCCCTGACCCAGAGTCCCTCCCCCCCTCTCCTGTCCCCCCTTTAAGCCCCGGAAGGCCGCTCGAAGGGCTCCCCAGAGCCTTCTCTTCTCCAGGCTGAACCCCCCCAACTCTCTCAGCCCGGCCCCCCAGGGGAGCTGCTCCAGCCCCCCCAGCATCTCCGTGGCCTCCTCTGGCCCCGCTCGAGCAGCTCCGGGTCCTTCTGCTGTTGGGGGCCCCCGAGCTGGCCCCAGCACTGCAGGGGGGTCTCCCCAGAGCGGAGCAGAGGGGGAGAATCCCCCCCCTGGCCCTGCTGCCCCCCCTGCTCTGGCTGCAGCCCAGGGCACGGGTGGGTTCTGGGCTGCGAGCGCACGGTGCTGCCTCACGGGCAGTTTTCCCCCCACCAACCCCCCCAAGTCCCTCTCCTTGGGGCTGCTCTCCAGCCACTCCTCGCCCAGCCTGGATCTGTGCCTGGGATTGCCTTGACTTCTAAATTTTCTGAGTAACTTTTGAGCTTGTAAGGAATTATTTCTAGGAGCACAGAACCACAAAAAGATTGCCAACAGGACCTTATGAAGTTTCAGTCCAATCTTCCCTTTAAAGTGGGACTGCCATCATTTCTTTGTCTAGCAAGCCTTGAAAACCTGAAGATGGACATTCCACAACCCCTCTGTGAAGCGTGTTCCCACGCTGCACAGCCTTCCCAGTGAGTCCTTCCTTTTGTATCCAGCTGGAATATCTCCAAGCTGCTACTTGGGACCACTGCCCCTCATTAAATTGTTTGGCACTACCAAGAAGAGTCTGGCTCCCTCACCCTTGTAATTACCCATGAAGAAGCTGCAGGATTGCAGAATCCTGCAACAGGGATCATAACCGCTCTCTCTTTTCACGATGGGCTTTGCATCTTTAATGTGAAAACCACTAATTTCTCCAAATACCCTCTCTTCCTGCTGCATTAGGGTATAACTCTGATAATGTTAATAGTAAAACATTTTGCCATGTGGTCCCATTATTCCTGACATACCTTTCCTCTTTCTTCTTGCAGGTACGGCATAACATCTGGCTGTCAGAATAAAGGGACTGCAAGCTTGATGAAAGAAAACAAAGATTTATCAGACTTGTGTGCCCTTTTTTAGCTATGTACACACTAAATACTGCTCAATCTGTACTCGGAAACCGGTCAGAGTCCTTAGACTCCAAAGTGATCAGCAGCCAGCCATGTCATTTGTCCAGAAGGAGTGTGGAACAGTTCAGTGTGGGTCTCACATGGGTGCTAAAGCAAACGGGTGAAGCTGTGCTGCTTCAGGGTGATGCGAACCCAAATGATGCAAAGAGCAGAGCAGTGGGAAGAGATTACAGACACCGAGCAGGGAGTGCAAGGGCTCCACAGCTGAACTGCATTCATTTACAGGGTTTGAACTAATTTAATTTTGCATGTGAGTTAGCCAGGCTGCCCCAGTGGCAGAGCGCAGAGGCAGCGAGACCTAGAGACAACCTTTGACCAGCACAGCTCATTACAGATGAGAATATTCATCACCAGCCTGAACCGAGCCGCTCTTTGACTTTTCAAGAACAAACTCTTCCAACTGCTCTTTCAAGGCCCCTGCTACTCCAATCAATACCTGCTTTGGATGATCCGCCTGCGCCTCAAGCATGTTTTCAAGTACAGCATTTGCAGGCCCACGTACCCGCCTGCCAGCAGGCCCGGCCGAGAAGCACGGGAGCTCAGCTCCGGCTGCGTGGGGCACGGGAGCTCAGCTCCGGCTGCGTGGGGCAGCGGGGCCGTGGGCGGCCTGCCGGCTCGGGCGGCGGGCACAGGGCTCTCTGCTCCGTCCCACGCGGACGGGGTGGTCGCAGCAAGTGCGGGAGCCGCGTGGGGTTCCAGCCCCGCGCCTCGGCCCAGCTCCCCGCCGCTTCGCTGAGAGACCTGCGGCTTGGGAGCTGCCCCAGCCGGTCCCCGCCGTGCGCCGGGCTGGGTCGGGGGGCAGCCCCAAGCCCTCGGCCCAGGCTGCGGGGGGGCTCAGCCCCAAGCCCTCGGCCCAGGCTGCGGGGGGGCTCAGCCCCAAGCCCTCGGCCCAGGCTGCGGGGGGGCTCAGCCCCAAGCCCTCGGCCCAGGCTGCGGGGGGGCTCAGCCCCAAGCCCTCGGCCCAGGCTGCGGGGGGGCTCAGCCCCAAGCCCTCGGCCCAGGCTGCGGGGGGGCTCAGCCCCAAGCCCTCGGCCCAGGCTGCGGGGGGGCTCAGCCCCAAGCCCTCGGCCCAGGCTGCGGGGGGGCTCAGCCCCAAGCCCTCGGCCCAGGCTGCGGGGGGGCTCAGCCCCAAGCCCTCGGCCCAGGCTGCGGGGGGGCTCAGCCCCAAGCCCTCGGCCCAGGCTGCGGGGGGGCTCAGCCCCAAGCCCTCGGCCCAGGCTGCGGGGGGGCTCAGCCCCAAGCCCTCGGCCCAGGCTGCGGGGGGGCTCAGCCCCGCCACCCCCGGTGCTGTGAGGGGCGCTGCCTGCCCAGCAGCACCCCGCGGACGCCCCGTCCCCTCTCAGGGCCGCCTCCGGCTCCTTCCCCCCCCGTCCCGCCCCACGCTCCCCCACCCCTGTCCTCGGCCCCCGGCCTGCCTCCAGGCCCCACTTCCACCGCAGCCGGACACCCCCCCCCGCCCGTCTCACCGGCCCTGTCGCCGCCTCGGGCGCTCCCCAGAGCGGCGGCCCCGGCTCGGCCCGGCCCCGCCAGGCAGCGGCCCAGCGCCGTCCGCAGCGCCAGCATCGCGCTGCCCTCACGGCCCCGCCGGCACGGGCGCCGCCATCTTACCCAGGCGCGGCGGCCCGAGCGCCGAGCGCGTCGATGGGCGGGCATGCGCCGCCATCTTACCCAGGCGCGGCGGCCCGAGCGCATCGATGGGCGGGCGGGGAGTGGGGGGGCGCTCCCCCCGCAGCCCCGGGTCCCCCCGCCGCTACAGGCGCCCGGGGCCGTTCTCAGCGCGTCCCCGTTTATTGCGGGAGGGGAGAGGGGAGGGGAGGGTAGGGTAGAGGAGAGGGGAGGGGAGGGGACGCACACAGCACCGGCTGAGGGAGCCCCGTTGGGCGGCCCCGGGCCGGGCCCCCCGCAGGCCGCGGGGCGAAGCCTGGGGCTGGATTTAGCGCTGCCCGGCCCCCGGCGCTAAAACACCCGGCAGTCGTGGAGCTCCTCGGCCCCGCCGATGCGGAGGCCCTGCAGCAAGGGGAAGGTGGCGGGCAGCTCCTCGGGGTAGCCCCCGTCCCCCGGGCAGGCGTGGGGGGCGGCCGCGTGGAACCAGAGGTTCTCGTAGGGTTTGGGGCTGGGGTCGAGGAGCAGGGGCTGCGCCGAGCCGGAGCGCAGGTTGAGGGGCGGCGGGACGTGCTGCTGGCCCTTGTACCCGCCGCCCGACACCGACACCCGCGCGTACTGGACGGGCTCCCCGCTCCCCGCTGCTGCGGCCCAGCCCCGGCCCGGTGTGCCGGGGCCCTCCTGCCGCACGTAGGGCTGGGGCACGACGGGCTCCGTGGTGAGCTCCTTGCCCCGGAGGGACGGCTGCTTCCCTGCCGCCCTTTCCAGCACCGTGACGGTGGAAATGGTCGCCAAGCCGGGCTCCCTGGCGCCGGGGACCTGCAGAGGCTCCTGGAGGAACGGTGCGCGGTCACGGCTTCTGCCTGCCCGGCACCACACCGGGCAAACTCCCAGCGCCCAGGTTCCCCGGCCCGGGTGCCGCGCCCTCCGGGTCTCACCTGCTGGAGCTCTGCCGGGACCCACTTGCCCAGGCTGCTGTTGGCGGGGTCGGGGACGCTGGGCCAAAACTGCTGCTTCACCCTGGTAGCCACAGGACGAGGGGTCTCAGTGAGGGGGGCCTGAAACCGGTGGCCGCGGGGCTGGCCTTGCTCCCGCTGAGCTGACGGCGGGATGCCATCCCTCCCCGCGTCCCCGGCAGGGCTGTGGCTGGGGCCACTGCAGGGGACGGGGACTCCCAGGGCAGCCCACCCCGCGGCGGGTCTCGGTACTCACCGCCCGTTCTTCTGGAAGCAGATGAGCAAAAGTAAGAGCAAGACAAAGGTCAGCCCCAGGGTCAGGAAGAGGAACTGGATTTCGATGTCATCTGGAAAGCGGGCAGGGGGAGAGGGTCACAGGGGGAAGGGTGCAGGACTCGGGGTCTGGAGGGGGGGGTCCCCTCCCATCCCTAACCCCCCCGGGGTGGCTGCGTCCCCTCACCTAGCACCGTGGTCACCAGCGTCAGGCTGGTGCCGTTGGTGCCGCCGGCGGCCGTGGATGCCATGATGTGCACTTTGTACAGGGTCGACGGCTTCAGCTCCCGGATGAGAAAGGAGCCGAGGGAGGGATTCACGGCAGCGCCTGGGGGAACGCGGGGGCTGCCGGCGTGGCGGGGGCTGCGTGGCCGGTGCCCCTCACCTGCGGGGCCCCCGGGGTCTCTGCTGGCTGGGGGTCCCGTATGGGACCTCTCTGACAGGGGCACGGCGTGCTGATGTCCCACCCAACCCGTGGAGGAGGGATGGGCAGGGCCGGCGGTGATGCCGACAGGACTCACTGGACACTTCCGTGGTGCTGTTGGCCCAGAAAATGGTGTAACTGGTGATAAAGCCGTTCTGCATCTCAACTGGCACCGGCTCCCAGCACAGCTCGGCCTCGGACTTGCTGATGCTCTTCAGGTGGAGCTTTGGGGCGTAGGACGGTGCTGAAACGGAGCAGGACAAGCAAGCGGGCGCTGTGCCGCGGGGTCGGGGACTGCTGGGGGGGATGAACTGAGCAGCCCAGTCCCACTCCCCAGGTGTGGACGCCAGGCTGTGCCCCCGTGGGGCTCTGTCCCGCTGAGAGCACCTTCAGGGGTCAGCCAAGATCCAGCCCGGGGGGCTGAGCTCTTCTGCACAGCCCCTGAATTGGGGGTATGTGAGGGTACCCTTTTTGAAAGGCAAAGGGTTGGTGGTGTGGGGCGAGCCCCCCCAGGGCCCCCCGGGCGGCTGCTGGCAGCACACGTACCCTTCTGCTTGGAGTAGGCTGCGGTGTGGACGGGCACCCCTACGGCATCCTTGTAGAGGGGGTACACGGAGATGTTGTACCGCTGGAACGGCTCTATGCCATCTGCAACGGAGAGCAGAGGGGGGGGCCGGGGGGCCCTGGCTGCCCCACGCCTGCCCCACAGCACCAGCCCAACTGGGACTGGCTCCAGAGGAAGGAGGGAGGGTGTGGAGTGGGCTCGGGGCAGGGTTTGGTCCTGGGGCAGTCAGGAGGGGTGCCAGCCCCTTGGTACCCCCCCTGCCCCCCGCCCCGCTGATGAGGGGGTCAGGGACCCCCCGGCTTACCCCGGATGAGGGCTGCGGTGGCAGCCCCGTCACGCTCCATCTGCCAGCAGGCGCTGCAGCGGTTGGGCTCCGAGGACACCCGCTGCCACTCCAGCACGTAGGCGGCCGGGGGGGTCGGCGGGGCCTCCCAGTACACCCAGAGGCTGCGCTCACCCCCAGGCACGGCCCGGAGCCCTGCCAGGGGCTGACCTGCGTGGGGACATCCAGCCGGGATGATGGGAGAGGGAGGCATCCGTGCCACCTCGCCCCCACAGCCCAGGTGCCGGCCCTGCTCCTGGCTTTGCACCCCGCAGGCAGCCTGCTCGGGAGCCCCCTGGTCACACACCCAGGGAGGCACCCCCACCCCCCCCGGCAGTGGGGTGAGGGAGCAGCACCCACTTTGAGAGATTGGGAGCTGCTGGGGAGGGGGGGGTGCAGAGCCTCAGGGGAGACGTGCGGAGGTTTCAGACAGGTTTGCTCCATCCCCACCTTTCCGCTCCAGGAGCATGACCTCGGTCGCTGCCGACTCGCCGGCGGCATTGTAGGCTGAGAGATAGACCCTCCTAGTCCCCGCCGGCACGGAGAAGTTGCACTGGGTGTGGGTGGTGTTGCAGGCAGTGGGGGGGTCCCTGCCCCTCCTCCTGGGGCTCAGGGTGACACGGTACCCCAGCACTCGCCCATTCGCCTCCTGCGGCCGCGGGGCCTGCGCGCAGACAGGGTGTGTGGGGATGCTCGGTCCCCAGGGGGGATGCTCGGTCCCCAGGGGAATTCTCAGTCCCCACAGAGGATGCTCAGTCCCCACGGAGGATGCTGAGTCGCCAGGGGGATGCTTGGTCCCCAGGGGGGATGCTCAGTCCCCAGGGGGATGCTCAGTCCCCAGGGGGGATGCTCAGTCCCCAAGGGGGATGCTGAGTCCCCAGGGGGATGCTGAGTCCCCAGGGGGGATGCTCGGTCCCCAGGGGGATGCTGAGTCCCCAGGGGGGATGCTCAGTCCCCAAGGGGAATGCTGAGTCCCCAGGGGGGATGCTCGGTCCCCAGGGGGATGCTGAGTCCCCAGGGGGGATGCTCAGTCCCCAAGGGGAATGCTGAGTCCCCAGGGGGGATGCTGAGTCCCCAGGGGGGATGCTCAGTCCCCAAGGGGGATGCTGAGTCCCCAGGGGGATGCTGAGTCCCCAGGGGGGATGCTCAGTCCCCAAGGGGGATGCTGAGTCTCCCCAGGGGGGATGCTCGGTCCCCCCAGCAGCCCCCCTGTCCCCACCGCCCACCCATGCTCACCTTCCAGCGCAGCTGCAGCTCCTTCCACCCACCCGTCCCGGCCGGCCGAGCGCTCCACCACACATCCAGCTTCCCCGTGGGGGCTGTGGTGGGAGAGTGGGGAGCTGAGAGGGGCGAGCACGGCCACGCCACCGCGGCTGGGCCGCCTGGCCGGGCAGAGGGGACGTCCCCCCGCTCCCTGAGTGACTCCGCACCCACCCTTCTCATGGGTGGTGTAGTTCCTGCCCGCGCTCCACTCGCTCCAGTAGCCCCGCGCCGAGCTCCGCCGGCACCGCATCTGGAAGTGGTACTGTGTGCCGAAGAGGAAGCCGCAGCGCTGCGTGGTGCCGGCCTGGCCGACGATGTTGGTGACCTGCTGGCGGCTGGAGTGAGGGCTGTGTGGGCTCCTGCCTCGAGCAGGGGCCGGCCCCGGGGTGGGTGCTGCGCAGGGCGTGCGGGGGGGCACCTTGCCATCCCCCTTCCCACGTGGGGACCCGCCGCTCCCATTGCAGGAAACCTGGCAGAGCTCGGAGGGTCCCAGCCCCTGCTCACTCACCAGAGCCCAGGCAGGGTCCTCGGGCGCCCGGTAGCGCAGCTCGCACTGCAGCTCCATGTGCGCGTTGCTGGGGGCCACCTCCCAGGCCAGGGTGACGCAGTCGGTCTGGAAGGGGATGGACTGGATGCTCTGCAGGGCCGGGGGGTCCAGCTTGGCTGGAGGAGGAGCAGGGGAGAGAGCTGGAGAGGGGCCGTGTTGGGCTGTGCGTGCAGCTGTTGTTAGTGCCACGAGCTGCGGTGGAGGTGCTGACCTGCCCGAGGCGAGGGGCGAGGAGAAAACACCCCCAGACATTTAGGAGAATGGCTCGTGGGAGGGGATGGGAGCTGGTGTGTGCCCCTGCCTGGGACACGGGGTGGTGCTCGGGAGCACAGCGCTGGCACTGCTCTGCAGCCTGGGTTCCAGGCAGGGTTAGCGCCTACGCAGAAATAACACATCCCCTGGGACCCGAGGTCTGGTTTGTGGCCAGGAAAACCCCACGTTTGGGTCTGCCCAGGGGTGAGAGCCCAGCAGCTGGTTCATGGGCAGCCCTTCCCCAGGTCCAGAGCAGGACGGACGAGTCACACCGTCTGGGAAGGTTCCTTTTATAAATAGTTTATAGGAGCTGGATGTATTATTAATAGACTTCCCGAATAAATGGGTAATCAATTGCGGGAGAGAGTTGTAGAGTGCGGCAGGTCAACTGGTGGCTCATAACCCACCAGCACACGCTGCTCAGTCTGTAATGCTTTGGCACCTCTTCATCCCGGCAAGCCATTTATCATGGGAAAGCTGCCCGTAAGATACGACCTAAAAGCCCAATGTGCTTTAATGCTGCTCTGTCACCCCCCTCTCCCCGCTGCTGAGCTTCCCTGGCCCCTGGCCCCTGCGCGGTGGCTCCGGCCATCACTCACCGACGTCCATGGGGTCGATGCAGAGATGCTCCGACTCGGCCATGCCCAGGGCGTTGGTGGCAGACACCCAGATCTCCATTTGCCGGTAGAGCTGGAGCAGCCGACGTGGCACCGTGCAGCGGCTGCGGCCGCCTTGCGGGGTGCAGCCCGTCACCGCCTGGGCTCTGCTCCTGCGGCAGCGAGAGAGGGCTCAGGGGCCCCTCGGCAGAGGACGAGGGTTGCCATGTGGTTTGGCGAGGGGTGAAGGCCAGGAGAGGTGGCCTGGGGACAGGGCACTGGGGACCGTGTCACCCCCCCAGGGCTTACCCGGCACACTTCAGCGCGATGCTGGTGGGGAGGTGGCTGTCGGCTCCTGGATCCCACTGGCACGTCAGCCCGTAGTCGCTGAGGTTCAGGATGCAGCTGAGGTTGAAGGGCTTCGCAGGCGGGTCTGGGAGAGGGCGGCGGGGGAAGAGCCTGAGCGAAGCACCCAGCCCGGCTGCACAGAGCCCCGCGGCCGCGCCACTGCTCCCCAGACCTCCCCTGGCCTGCAGCCTGCCCACAGCCCCGAAACAGCCTCCATCTGCCATCGGCCCTGGCTGCTGCTCCCGCCACAGCGGCTTTGCCCGGCTCGCTCAGGGAGCTTGGACGCATCTCGGGGAGGAGACGTGTGAACCCCGGTGCCAGGTTGTGCCTCTCTGAAGTGCACGTGCGCGCACGCGGGTGACCCGCGGCGGCAGGAGACTTACAGCCCGCCCGGATCTCGGCCATGCCGACGCGCTGCTTGGTCCTGTTCCACTCCACCCAGCACCACAGCTTGGCCTGCGTGCGGTTGAACTGGGGCAGGGTGAGGTTGGACACCTCCGTGCCTCCCGGGCCCCGGCGCTGGCTCCCGGCCACGGGCTCGTTGTCCAGCATCCAGGTGATCCGGACCTTCCCCTGCTCCAAGCCGCGGCAGAGCTTGCTCTGGATGGTGCAGGATGCCGTGACGGCCGAGCCCAGGGGCACAACGGGTGAGCCCACGACCACGGAGGCACAGCCCAGGGTCCCTGCAGGCAGGAAGAATGTGTCACATCCAAGGCATGGCCATGACAAAGCCAGCTCAGCTCAGCGCCCAGACAGCGCAGAGGGATGAGTGTCTCTTCCCTTAGACGGGCCCCCCAGCCGCTGGGGAGGAAGAGCCGGGCGTTGGGCAAGTCTGCTGGTACCCGCCAGGCCCCATCCTGCCAGCGCCCGCCGTGCCGCCGGCAATCCTGCCCGCCCGCCCAGCCTGCCGCGGCCCCGGCCGCTCGGGACGGGCCCCACTCACCGCCCGGGCGGAGGAGCAGGAGCAGGGAGAGCCGCAGCAGGAAGGGTGTCCCGGCACCGCGCCTGGCCATGGTCTCCTCCGTGCCTTTGGCATCACCTGGAATGGAGAGAGCAGCTTGTGCTGGCGGGTCGGGAAGGGGCTGTGACCAGCGGGGCTGCAGGAGCCGTGCTGCCACCGGCACCGGTGCTTCCTGGAGCAAAACGTCCTTTTGCTGTCAGAGGTAGCATCTCCCACCCCCCCACAGCCCTTCCGCAGCGCTGACACCTCCACCCCTGCGCATAGGTGAGGCGTTCCGGCAGGGCCCCTCGGGCACAGCCCGACACCAGCTCTCAGCCCCGTGCACCCCCATCCCGCGCTCTGACACCCTGTGTCTGGCCGCAGGCAGAGGCTGATTTTATCTCAGGTATCTTCAGCCTCTGACCGGCAGAGATTTGCGGTTTCAGGGAGGGTTAGCGCCGGGGCTTGGGGCGGCGGAGCTGATAACACGAAAGAGGGAAATGAGTGGACGGCAGCGCAGCGGGCTGGCCGGAGCTGCGGGGTCCTGCCTGCACCCCCCGTGCTGGCCCCTCCAGCTGCTGGGACCAGCCCGGGGAGCGGCGGCTGCCCCTGCCCTGCCCGGCCACCGGTTCATCCTCTGCCCCGGGCTGGTCCCAGCCGTGGCCTTGGCAGTGCCAGGGACTTGCCCCAGGAGGGGCTGCCCATGCTGCCCCGGCTCTGGGTGCCCACAGCTCCTCTCCCCCACCGAGCTGACCTCCAGAGGCAGGCAAAGGACTCCAGTGTGGGAAATGGGGGAGCAGCCCCCCCGAGCACCCAGCACATGTGGCTGTCCCAAGCAGGGGACAGGGCAGAGCAGCCACAGAGGAGGCGCTCAGCCGGACCCAAGCACCATGCTGCCCACCCCTACCTCGCTGCCACCCCTACCTCGCCTCCATCTCGACCTCTCCTCCGCGCCTGGTGCGTCCGGCCGCCGCTCACCACCCGCTCCGAGCGCCGGCCTCCGGCTCCCGGCAGCTCGCCGTGCTCAGTCCGTTCGCTAACATGCTGCTTTCACCGTTAGTTCCTCAAAACCAGTGCCGTTAATTGCTGTGACTCTCTGAAGAAGGTGATTACAAAACACTTCCCTGAAGGCTGCGACCGCCTCGCTCGCCGCAGGAAGGAAAGCCCAGCGGCACGCACCCATCCAGTGGCGGGGAGCAGCACCCGGCCTCCCGCCCTGCCCGCTCCCGCAGCCGGGATGTGGCACGGCCGGCTCCTCGCTGCGGCTCACCTGGGGCCACGGGTCTGGGCTGGGGGACGTGGGACCCGGAGGGCAGGAGGCAGCCCCAGCCGTGGTTGCCAGCGCAGGGTGGTGCTGCCTGGGCACAGCTCGCATCCCCCAGCCCGCTCTGGTGTCCTCGCCGGGCACCCACCGCGGGGACTGGGCTCATCCCCGCATCCTCATCCTTCTAAGCTTCAGCCCTCTCCTGGGACGTGCCAGCCAGCCCCCCACCCTGGTCCCTCTCGGCTTGCAGCCGAGCATGGGCCATCCCCTAAAGCTGGGGGAGCTGCCCCACGAAGCCATTTCACCCAAGCTGTCCCTGCTCACACCATGAGTCCAGCTCGCCCCAGAGTGGGGGACCCGTGAGGTGCCCCAAGGGCACCCTGAGACCCGACCTTCCCACTGGTACCTCCCCGTGCCAACCATTAACCCGGGTTTTTCCAGCAGCTCCTTGCCCAGGGCCCTGCCCAGACGCCCCGGGGGGGCTCACTGCTGGGCTGCCCACCCGTGCCAGGCTGGCACTGCAGCCCTGGCCGGGGATCCCCACGGCCCGTGGGAGGGGACCGGGGTGCGGGGGTAAACAGAGGATTGCTCAACCCGCCACGCACTCGCAGCCTTCGCAACGGAGGCGGCTGTTGTGCAAACAGCTGTTTACTACGGGATTTGTAGCACACGTTTCTCCTCCAGCGCCGTGTTACTCAGCGCTCACGCAACCCCATGCTGCAAACAACTGGGGGGTCAGCACAGCCCCCCCCCCCCCCCCCGGTGTCCCCGGGAGAGCAGCCTGGGGGAGATGCGCTCCGAGCATCACCTCCCACAGATCTGGGCCGCTGGCTGGAGGGAGATGGCCAGCCACCTTGCAGCCCTGACAGTCTGAGCAAAAGGGTTTCCCCCCCCCCAAATCTCCGCTGCCCAGGGCCCCAGCCCTCTGCCCGGGGCGGGCCAGGCTGCTCACGGGGGCTGTGCGGGGTCACAGCGCTCCGGACTGGGGCGTGGGGCCGATTCCCACAGCCGCTGGCCTGGGGTGGGGGAGCTGCCCTTGCAACATTTCCCTGGGGTGTAGCAACCCCCCCCAGTATTCTGGGACGGAAGCGCGTGGCTTGCAGGCTGTTTACCATCTGGAGCAGGAATATCCGCAGGTAGCCATGGCAACGTGGGCATCACCGTGGGAACCGGAGGGCAGGCAGAGCTGGACACAAACAAGCGCTGCCCTCCCCGCGCCCGCCGGCGGGGCCCTGCTGTGGGGTGCATGTGGTGGGACCCCACGTCCTGGTGTGCGGAGGGGACTGTGCATCCCACCCCAGCACACACCTGCCCCTGGGCTCGCCCATGCTCCCCAGGGAAAGGGTTTGTCCCCGCAGAGGCTGCAAGCACACCAGTCTGCCGGGGCAGCGGCCCTCTCCCAAGATTGGGGATGGAGCTGACGTGCCCCCACAACAGCGCTCTCGGTTCCCCTTTGGCTCTGAGTCACTCTCACAAGCCCACAGATCCCGGCCCTGGGATGGGACAGGGGGACAGGAGGCAGGGTGCCATCCCTGCAGAGCACCCACAGCCAGAGCCACGGGGCCCAGGCAGCCCGGCGGAGGGGCCGGGGCAGGAGGGTGCGTGGGGAGGGGGCTGCCAGGCTGCGGGGTGAGGGAGGGTCCCGCGGGATGAGGCTGTGGCAGCGCGGAGGCAGGCGGTGACACGGGGCCATGGTGCGGGACAGATTGGGGAGCACAGTTTGGAGGGAGGGTGGGTGCTTGCAGTCTGGACATGTCACGTTTTGGGGTGAGCGGCTGGGCAGTGGGCTCCCAGCTCCTGGCACAAGAGCCCCCCACCCCCCCGTTCCCAGGGCTGCCTGGCCAGGGGGAAGGCAGAAAGGGGAAGCGGCCGCGGGGCTTTTCCTGGATTGCAGCGCGTGGGACGGGGACCGATGGCACTGGCCGGCAGCCCACTGGCACGGCCAGAGCCCTTGGGCAGCTCGAGTCACGATCCACAGGTCCCACTGGGGGTGACAGGCAGGGACGGATCCGGACCCTTCCCAGCACCGCAGCACGGACCCCCTGTGCCTGGAGGCACCGCTGGCTCTGCGGCCACCCGGGGCAGAGCAGATCCTGGCACAGCAGACGTGTGAAGCGGCTCCATTCCTCACCCTGGCTGCAGAAGCTCCCGCCGGGCTCTGAGTGTGATGTGGGGCGGGGGACAGCGGGACCCCCCTGCACCCTGGGGCAGCAGGGCCGGGGGAGCCCCATGGACCAGCGGCGCTCTCCCACCGCTCCCCACGTGAAGTGCCGGGGGGTTGTCAGCTGCCTCCGGTGCTCAGGCGTGTTATCAGCGCCTCTGGTTTAATCCCTGCTGGGCAGATCATTGCTATTAAGCAGAATAAAGTACATTACCAGCTTGTATCAGCTCAGCTGTCAGCAAGAACCGGCCTCCCCAAAGAGATTTTCCCTTTCTTCGTTTCATTCCCTGAAAAAATAAAATATTGCCAGTCAAGATGCAAGATCTCAGTGCAAAATCTACTGCAGTCTCTAATGGATAAGGTGAGCTGTTTAATTGCTGCCCAACATGATTAATTCAAACCAACCACCTTGTTCAGCCGTCAGCAACAGGGAGGGAGCAGAGGGCTCCCCGCCCCGCAGGCAGGCAGAGGTGGTGGGGAGGAGACCCTCGGCTTGGGACAGCAGCACAGGGGGACACGGGGGGACACGGGGAGCCCAGGCTGCCAGCACGGAGCTGCCCTGGGGAGGGGGGGCCCGACCGGGACCCTCCTGTGTCCGCGGGCTCCGGTCACCCAGTCCCCAGGGGTGTCCACGGTGCTCGTCCCCACCACGTGCTGCCGCTGCCACCAGCTCCTGCCCAGCGAGGAGGCTGCAAATCGGTGAGAATTGATTACAGGGGTCCGAGAGGCTGACCTTGAACAAGGTTCCTGACACGTTACTGTGATTAATGAGGCAGGAGGATTAATTTTCTGTGTTGCAGGGATCTGGGGAGTCCCCGATGGGCGTGGGGAGAGGGAGGACGAGGTGAGAGGGGCAGAGAGCTGCGCGCTGTTATTCCTCTCTAATCTGCAAGATGCCAAAAGGGTGGCAGGGGGCTGCAGCCCCAGCACGGGAGAGCGGTCCTTCGGGTGGGTGGGCGAGAGGAGAGATCTTCCACGGGACCACGGAAAACTTGCGTGTCCCTAAATTAATGTCTCTGTTGCTCAGGTGTCTGCAGCAGACGAACCTCCCCATGTCCGACAGCCGAGCCCCGCGCCAGCCCCTCATCCCCTGACACACCTGGAAATTCCCCCTCTTTTTTGCCGAGACGCTCCAGAGCTCAGATGTGCAGAGCATCTTCTCCCTCTGCCATTGCTGAAAAGAAATTTTCCTTCAATGCTGCCCCTCATCAAACCAGCTGGGCAGGGGGATTTTCATGCCTCCCCCCGTGACCGCGGTGCCGAGCAGCACGTCTGATCCCAGCTGCCAGGGCTGCACGGCCAACTTCCGACACTTCCCGGCAATCAGGCTGCAAGCACAGTGCTATTATTTTTCTGCTCTAATAAACAACCCTGGCAATAATAGAAAAAAATCAGCTTTTATCGGGAAAAAAATATATCTGGAGATTATTTACTCAGAGTCAATAGTTGCAAACAGAGGCTGTTAGCCCAGGCAGAGGCTGACATCTGCTCGCGGTTGGAGTGGCCAGCTCATTGCACAGAAATGGGGCAAAACCCTCCCAAGAGATCCCCTGCTTGCTCCCTCTATACAAATACAACAGCTCAGCTGTGCTCTGCAGGACCCTCAGCACCCCCCACCCGTTTTACCCTGGGACAAGCTGCAAGGGCCAGGCCCCTGAGGGGCCAAGGAGGTTTTGGGTGCTCGAACAATGGGGGTGGGAGCAGCCACAGGGCTGGAGCCCGGCTCAGAGCTGGCCACCTCTCCCCTGCCAAAGGCTCAGGTCTGCACGAGCAAGAAATTCACGGTCAATTGAGTTGCAGCTAATCACAAAGGGCAATCAAATGGCTGCTTCTCGAGGGCTATAAACATCACCATTTAAATCCAGTGACACACGGAAATAGGAATCTAACCAAGCAGCCTCCAAAAGTGCTTTAGTCCCCATTATTTTCATTAGCTGGCTTGTAATTTGATTTGTCCTTCTCCTGCTGCTGGCTTTTTCCACAGCCAAGAGGAGTGACAAATGAAACACCTTCAAACCCACAAACCCCGACGGTGACCGTGCGGGTCAGGAGTGACGCAGCTCCTCCAGCTCCCCAAAAGCAGCCGCGTTTGTGACCTGTGAGAGGGGACTGAGGCCTTGGGGTGCCTGGACCGTCCCCGCCAGTGACCCCCTGGCACTGAGGCACCCTGGGCAGCCTTTGGGGAGGGCTGTGCGGGTCGAGCCCCGCGCTGCCAGAGCCATCACGGCCGATGCTCCGGGCAGGGGCTCAGATCCCAGCGCTCCCAGTAACACAGGGGCCACCCAGCCCTGCTGCAGGGCTGGCCTTATCCCGGGAGCAGCGTGCCAGGGACGCCACCTCCGCTGCTGTTGTCACACACATGGGCTGGCTTGTTTTCTGCAAATTCCAATTAATTTCACTAGGCTTTTCTGACAAGACAGATTAAGGTCTTTCCCCTTCAATCCGCCCTGCTGTGAGTCTGCAGCAGAGGGAGTTGAAGGTGATGATCGGCCGGTCTCCCCACAGAGCTCTGTTTTCTCTCCCCTTGGTTTGCTGCCTTCTACCTGTTTTCCCAGGAGGACTCAGCTGAGGGGGTTGGCCCCGAGGGGTCAGCAAAGTGGGGACTCCACCACCGATCCCCGCTGCGGGACGGAGCTGCCTGCCCGGGCTTGGGAAGGGCAGTGCTCCGGGGACACCTCTGCGGTGCCGCGGGGGTCCCACGGGTCGCCGCAGCTCCGGGGATGCTGCCGGTACCTGCAGTGGTCCTGCTGCAAACTGGGGCCTGCTCAGCCCTTGGCTGAGCCCAGGAAAACAATAGCCAAGGCTCACGCTGTGCTCGCCAGCAGCCACCAACGCCCTGCCCAGGGACACGCTGCCTCAGCCGGGATGGTTTCTTTGCTCTGGAGCGAGGGGCGAGGGGCCCAGGGCCAGCACCAGCATCGTCCACCCCCGGGTGCTCCTGTGCTCCCTGCACCATGCTGACGTCCCCCCCCCGTTATCTGCAATTTCCTTGAAAGCTGTCAGGCTTCGCTGGGGCACCTTTGCAAATGAAGAGAGAAGAAAACAACCAGGTCTGCATTTATTTCACTAGAAATTAATCCCCCCCTTCTTATTTAAAGGTATCAGTGAATGAGGCCAAGTTGTTAAGTGACAAAAGAAAAATGATTCTTGCCTTCCAGGGTTATTAAAATCATGTTCTACAATTTTAGCAGCCACAAGGAAGCCCAGATAATGACAGATGATGATAATACATCTCCAGCACAGCCTGGTCTATAATGATACTGCCCATATCTCTTGTATTACCACCAATTACTCAGCGTATAAGTATAATGAAAATGTACATCCATTCTGGGGAACTGCATTTGCTGCCTCTGAATCCAATTTCTCCCTCTCCCAGCAGTGAAGGAGGCGGCTGCAGCTCGCTGCTGGCCGGAGCCACCGCCGTGCCTGGCTCCGCTGGGGCCGGGGAGCCGGCGCTGTCCCGGGCAGGGACCGGTGCCCACGGTGGGTGCGGGGTGCCCCTCGCCCCCCGCCACGTGCCGTGGGAGGGACAGGAGTGCCTGTCGGGTGGGGGGACACGCTCTGCACAGGTAGGACAGGCGGGAGATGCTCTGAGATGCAAACTGCAGGAGGAACCTGAGAAGATATAAAGCAAAGTGAATCCTCTCTCCTGCATGAGGAAGGCAGTTGACACCTACCCCGGCTGGGGCTGGGACAGACCCCGCTGAGCCCCAAAGCACTTTGAGAGTGCCTATCCAAGTGCTGGGACAGCACCCTCCTGCTCAGCACAGCGTCATCCTGCTCATCCGGCAGCAGCCGCCGGGCCCCAGCCTGGAGGCCGAGCTGCCATCAACGCCCCCAGCGTCACCCACCCACCCACCCACCCACGGCCCTGTGTTGAGGAAAAAAAAAAAGCTCCCTCGGGCTCCCACACCCCTGTACCTGGATGGGCAGGCGTGCTCTGCGCCGGCGGGCTGTACGTGGGGGCGGCTGCATCCCACAGCAGCATTTAATCCTGTTAAAGCGGAGTGGAAATTGCTCCGATAGCGGGGCGGCCATCTGATAACACACGGGATCCCCTCCCGCTGCAGCACCTGGAAGCTCAGAGAAGGCTCGCTCTGTGTAAGATTAATATAGATATATATTTCATCTGGATTCTATTATCTTTCGCTTTATTCAGGTCAAAAAGCAGGAGACAACATCTTTGAAGATGAAAACATAATCTTTTGGGAAATTGAAAATATAGATCATTGTTTGGGTAGAAGTACGTGCGTGTGCCCCCAGCCCGGTGCACGGTGGCTCCGGAGACCCTCAGCCCACGCGTGGGGAGGGCTGCCCGTGGCCCCTGGAGGGAAGGAGCATCTCATGCCGATGGAGAGGAGCTGGTGCTGGGAAAGCTCCCGAAAAGCCTCGTGTGTGTATGTGCACCACATGTGTGTGGTGGCACTGGGCGGCCTTGGCGGAGACCCAGGGGGAGCCCTGCCCGGACCCCCTGGGTAGGCGCTGAATACCCCCACGGCACAGCAAACCCCACCACGATGGGGCCGGGTCCCCCTGTAAATGTTTTTCCTTGGAGCAGATCTCCAAAGCCAGTTGGCTCTTTAAAACAGGTCTCCGGGTAGCAGAACTCGCCTCGTTATTTCCTAAATTAAATGCCTTTATTTTTTCATAACTTTGTGTAATATATATGTGTATGTTTAATACATAATTCATGGCCCCTCCATGCTCTAAGCTACTCTGTTGCAGAATGCACGTTACCTCCTCTGAACAGATTGCATTTTGTAGCCCAATTTTAAATGAGTTATTAAAGAACACAGGTACACCTATTAATTATTTCATAAATATTAATGAGCCCTTAATGGCTGGAATCCTGGAATAACATATTCCCAGGGAGTTAATTTTTAAAGAGGTTGTTAACTACACTGACCGCCGGGCTGGGGGGGAGCTGACACGCCTGCACGCTGTGGCGGGGGGCTGACGGCCACCGTGGGGAGCACGGCCGGATCCCTCGGCAAAATCCTCCCCGGCACGGCAACTGCGGCGCCTGCGAGCTGCTCTGCGACGTGAACGGGGCAGGCCGGGGGCGAGGGCACCCGCAGCAGCCCCCGGGCCCCCGCAATTGCCAGGTGAGCTTCTCTCCAACAAACCCGCCGGCTCTCGGCATCGCCGGGGCCGCTGCCACCCGCGTTACGGCACGGAGGGTGCGCAGGAGGGAACACGGAGCGAAATCAGCACCCGCACCCCAACTCGTGGGGAGCTCGCTGAGACGCCCCATTGGGAGCTGCGCGTGTCT